GATGAGGGTAAAAGAATGTATTGATGTTGTGCATTCTAATTGTTGGTGCACAAAATAGATGTCTCCTTATATCAAAATTTCTTGTCTTTTTGCTAAAATATCTAGATCCATTAGTCAAAATGCTAAATCACATGTTAAATATATGCTGATAATGATTAGAATTCATTAGGTTTGGAGGTAACTCCATCACATAAGATTTTTGCTTATCAAAAGAATTCATTCATTAAGCAAAAATTCGAAGCTTAGTCAAGTCTTGTTCCTGTCTTGGCTCTACAAAGTAAATTGATCAAAGGAGTTTGAGCCAAGAACTTCTTGATTCAATGATACCTCATACCTCCCCTCATAGAAAAGGTTATAGGTTGGTTATTTGCCATGACAAAATAACCAATATGGGTTGGGTGGGTGTGTGGGTCACCTATTCTATGAAAGAAGGGGGTTTAAGCTGCTTAAAAAAAAGAAAAGAGGCGCTGAACCATCCATATGGGGGCAACCCCTTACATTTAGAGTTTTGACAAGCCAATCAGCCATAAAATTACACAACCTAAGAACATAAGATAAATTAAATTAAAGTAAAATCTATGCAAGATTTAAGCAGACATTATAGATCAGTAACAAAAGTACTAGCCTTCCAAACAGGACAAGAAACTTGCTCTTTCACAACCTTCATTACCAATTGCAAAGAATCAGATTCAACTCCCAGCTTTACCATCACTTACGCTGTATCATTGGTTATTTCAAGAATAAGTACAGATTTACCAAAGAAACTGCTATGAACCTAACTGAGTCATACGACTGTTAAAAAGGCAGGGTGTCCATAAAAGTCTACAATTCAGATTCTCTGTCAATGTAATAGACAAATTAGTGATTAGTTCTGATTTTCCCTTTGTTTTTTTTTTTACTTAATTAATTGTGATGATTATCCAAGACTGAAGGGTTTAGGTTTTCAGGCGTCACAGGATATCCTTGCCAGCGCCACCCCACCTTTGGGATGCCTATCAGATCATTTATAAATTATAAATGTAATAATAGTCAACATTTTTCCTTAAATGAAAGAACTATTTTAGTGTTCGGACAATGTTACCCTCTTTGGCGTTAAGTGATTGGATGCATTAACAGACGGGGCAACTCAGTGTGAGCGTGCCACGTAAGCCCGCACCGCCCCGGTGGTTCTTTTTTTTTTTTTTTTTTGGACTCAGCCCCGGTGGTTCAACCACGCTTCTTCTTTTTGATTCGCTTCCAAGATTCTCCCAACCCTACTTTCGTCCACCTACATTTTCTTCTCCTCTTTTACCCATCTCCTTCATTTTTCTATTCGTTTCCTCCTTCCTTTGCTTCCAATCTTTTGTCCCTTCAATTTCATTCTCAAGCAGGCAAGTTAAGTTCAGATGATTTATTATTATTAGCTTAGTTTTTTAACAGATAATATTTAATATCCGATTAATCGTTGTCAGATGAGCCAGTCTTTTAGAAGACAGTTTTTTTCACATTCATATGAATTTAATTAGAGATATGGTATTGAAACAATCATAACTTTTTGGAAGAATTATTGTGAGGTTTAAAAAAAATTTAATTATCAAAAAATTGTCATAACAAGGGAACAACATAATAAACATTGATTCCCTCTAACCTTTTCTATTCCCAGCTGGACGGTGCGTGAGGGAAAAGGACCTGGAGACGAAGCATATTCAATTATTTTATTTAGAGTCAAAGCATTGAAATGATAAGTTGCTCAAAATGGAATGGAGGATGACGTCGCACATGATGTCACAGCTCGATGGGGATAACCAACCAGATAATATTCTGATTAAAAAAAAGACGTGAAATATTATAGAAGAGATAAATTTATTTATTACAAAGTCGGTCCTGACATTCCACTACGGATGCTCAGTCAGAATTCGAGAGTTATATTAATATACATTGAACATATTCATTTGCATTGAACTGCTCAATTATTTGCTGCTCCTACCATTTTAGGAAGGTAATACTTAATTAATAGCCCTCTCACATGATAATATTATCATCTCATGGCAGCGTATGTTTGATACCCAACATTAATAAAAGCAAGCCCTTACGCGTATTTTTTTCCCATTCTTTATTGGGTATAAGAAACTCACAAAATCAAATGCGTATAATTTCATATTTGAATAAGATATGAGGAAGTTTGGTTAAACGGTCCTGATAAACTCTCATTACCATCAATGCATCTTTATGGTTATCATCATACTACCTCCAATTCTAATTATAAAATCTCATTTATATCTATAAATAAGATCTTATAATTAGGATCAGAAATAGTATTTCATTTTTTATCATGTTAAACTCAAAATTATAACTTTTGCTTCAAGAGAAGATAAAATCTATATTTTAATACGTAAAATCCGATGGGGCCAGTGTTGTTGTGAAGGACCCACTATTATAATAGCATTGGATGACTATCATGTTCAACAATATAATTAGATTAGATTATTTTTTGTCAAGATAGATGAGATCATGGACGGTGTAAATTATAAAATTAACATATTAATTCACTGTAGTCATGTTTATAATTTGAATTAAAGTAAGGAAAAGAAAAGGAAGAATGGAGGCAGAAGTTGGAAGGAAAGGGACGACACTACATCTCGAAGCCAAGAGTTTCTGTATTTTGGGGGACATTTTGCACTAAGAACTATTTCTGTGTTTTGCTTCAACAAACCATGGTTTATAACGTTTGATGACTGAGAATTTACGAACTTTTTTTGAAACTATAAGTGAATGTTTATAATTAAATTTGGTCTAAACGATTGAAAAAAAAACAACGATAAAGTTTTAAAGAAAAATACAGTAGAGAGAGGGGGGAAAGGGAAAGTTCGTCAGGTAGTGAGAATGTAGAGAAATAAAGAAGGAGAGGGGTGGGTGGTTGGTGCGGGATGGGTTTGGCTGCCCTGCCGTCAAAGCCACAGCTTTCGGCATTTGGTGACAAATTTGGGTGACTCATTCTTTAATCTTTATCTTTTCTCATTCATTACTTTTTATTAGTTCATTAACACTTTTGTCCGTTCCCCGCCTTAATTAGGTTGCAGGCTGGGCCGACGAGCGAGCCTGATCAGGTTGGCAGATTAATTGTAGTAAAAGGAATCAGTATTACTTTTAATATTTGAATTTCTCTCTCTCTCTCTCTCTCTCTCTCTCTCTCTCTCTCTTTTAAATACCCCTGCAACTTCAGCCGTGAAAGAAATTAATCTTCACAAAACAAAAAAATTGTCAGATAAGTATGTGTGAATCGCAAATTGCAATTTTTGATGCCCTGAGTCCAAGGCCTTCAAAGAGTTTTAAATTAAGCTTTCATCAATCAAGTCTCTCACACAGATCCTTCCAAAAAAAATCTTCTTTGTCGAATTCCATTAGATCGAAGCCAAAAAAAAAAAAACACTGAACACACATTTATTTCTTATTTTAGAATTGTCCCATTCCTTTTTGGCTATCTATGTCATTAATATCACACGGTCTTGCCTGGCCCTCTCGCCTCTAAAATCAACTTTTTGATTTTCAACTTTCTCACTTTATCACTTCATCTTACCTCTTCCTTTATTTCTAAGAAATCATCCACATGATCCACGCACCCAATGATTTCTTCAGCCTCTTTATAAAATTTTTCTGCATTTTTGGCTCCCCCAACAAACAAAATTTTAATTTTAATTTATACAGAAAATCACATTTTAACTTATCAGTGTAGGTTTTTAATTCCATGGTTGGGTTTTCCCCCCTTATCTTTCGAAGAAGAAACTTGCACACTCAACATATTCACAAAGGTCGAACATTAAGTCTTATATTTAAACAAGACTTCAACAAATAGTTGGTGTCCTGGGTCAAATTAAACGATCCCCTCCCATCTTTGCTGATACAGTACGTAAATTTTAATTACTCCTTACTTCCTCCGTTTCTTATTATAAGAGACGAATAACCAAATTACGTTGATAAAAAAAACAGTTAAAATTAGTTAAGAACAATCCATGTGTAAAAAGTATAATTTTTTTCTCAAAAATGCCCTCATAATAAGAAGAGAGAGTATGAGAGAGAACAATTAAATTATTAAAAGAAAGAGAAGTGGGAGGGAGAGAGTGTGTTAGTTGGAAACAATAAATATAGGTAAAATATGAAATCAACACGAAAAAATAGAGACAACTTTTAAGTGTCACTTATATATAGGAACATGCTATAAGTATCAAATGTCTCTTATAATAAGAAACGGAGGGAGTATTTTATATAATATCGTTTACCTGTTGTTGCACCGGATTTGAAAATTTTTAAGTTTATGTGTATCAATAAACATGATTTAAAAATCTAGCTATGGATTACTGTTTTCATGATGTGAAAGTTATATATGGTGAATAATTTTTTTTCCCCAAAAATGAGATTGAAAGATAACGATTGAGGACCTTATCGATCTCTAAATTTCTCATTAAACCTCCATCAACCCCCGTCCACGTGTATTAAGATACATAAACGTCGTTTAATTTTTCTAAAATCAAGCAAATTTTCAAAAAATAAATTAATTGTTTAAAATAATTTTTTAAAAAAGGACCAGTAGTGAAGAAGCATGATGCAGCAAACAAACTCATCAGATCAGTAGATGATAACAAATGGGATTTTTTTCTTGAAGCATTTTATAATGTATTAACAAATTACCTAACCACGTTTCTTGGCCGCTGAAACGATATTAATTATTTTATTTATGATCGAAATACTTTTATAACTGATCCACAAAACATGAAATTAGATTATCCTATCTGATGAGGGTCTCATCAGCTCATATGAACAACAATAATTTCCATTATTGCGCAGAAATACACTGCGTTATTACAACTTTATTTATTACCATAATATTTAGGGAAATTAAGCATACTATATGTATATATTTGATTCCTTTCATGCTTACTGCGGCCGTACCCCATTATTAATTGTTATCTACAGTCCCTTTGCTTCATCCACAAAACGATCACAATTAACAATGGCTTTAGGCTTCAAATTTGCAAGCTGAGAAGAAGATGATGATCCCAATTCACATTGGCCAAAGTTAAAGCAGTGGCTGCAATATGATTTGCACTCAGTCCTGCAGCTTCAGTTTGATCTGCCTGAGACCCATGGTCGATGTATCTATCAGGCAGTGTCATCGGCCTCCACTGAAAGAAACAACCACACAAACTCAGTAAAGTCTTAATTAAACACTAAATAACAAAACATGCTTCCAGTTCATATAGAAGGATGATGAAATTAAAACGACGAGTTATTAAGATTGTAATTAACAATGGTGATACGTTATACGTACCTTGAGATTTCCATCAAGCAATCCGTTTAAGCCGAGGAAATGGGAAACATGGGAACCAAATCCTCCAATGGCTCCCTCTTCAACAGTGATGAGAATTTCGTGCTGTTTAGCCAGTTCCGTCATCAGACCTCGATCCAGAGGCTTACAGAATCTCGCATCAGCCACAGTGGTAGAAACCCCATGAGCTTCAAGGATCTTTGAAGCCTCGACACAATTCTGTACCGTTGTCCCGTATCCAACCAGAGCAACTCTGCACCCTTCCTTTATAACTCTTCCTTTTCCAACCTGTATATACATGAATTTCAATTAGCTTTGCTTACAGTTTCATTGTTCTGATAATCCTCAGCATTGCGTGATGAGTTATTAAGTAATAATAATTAAGTACCTCCAAAGGCGTGCCCTTGTTATTTGGTGGAAGTGTGGTTCCTATTCCGTTTCCTCGCGGATATCTGAAGCAACATGGCCTGTCATCGATGGCCACAGCCGTTGCGATCATATGCATAAGTTCAGTTTCGTCCGACGGAGCCATAACCACCATGTTGGGTAAGCAGGCCATGTACGTAGTGTCAAAGGCTCCACAGTGAGTCGGACCATCAGCTCCCACAAGGCCAGCTCTATCCATGGCAAATCTTACTGGTAGCCTTTGAAGGTCCACATCGTGAGCTACCTGCACCAACAGCCACAATGCCAAATATCAGACAATGAATACATTTATTCTCAACTCACTTTGGAACGTTTAAGATTAAAACCCTCTCAGTAAATATGTTTCTTAAGAATGGAGCTTGTGTTCTTCTTCTTATTGTCGTGAGGTTGGTTACCTCTACCAACAGCTTGTTTGTTGGTGACAAAGGACATATTTTAAACCATGGGGATGGACTAACTAAACATTAATGATTATGAAGGGAAAAACCTGATCGAAGCCTCTCTGAAGGAAAGTAGAGTAGATGGCACAAAAGGGCTTAAAGCCTTCAGTAGCAAGGCCAGCAGCGAAGGTAACAGCGTGTTGCTCTGCGATTCCCACGTCGAAACACCTATTAGGGAATTCTTTCTGGAAGAGGTTGAGTCCGGTGCCACCTCCCATGGCGGCGTGGATGGCCACGATTTTGTCATCAACCTTAGCTTCCGCTATCAATGACTCTGCAAAGTACTGTGTGTAAGAAAGTGTACTTGTTTTCTTCTTCATCTGCTTCCCTGACCTTGGATCAAACTTCACAACCCCTGCACACACGAAGAAAAAAACACAACCCCGCCATATTTTTGCTACTTGTACAATGATCATAACAATATAAAAAACAGGTCTTTTGAACTAGTAATATAGGTACCGTGCATTTTGTCTGGGGCATTTTCAGCAGGGAGATAGCCCTTTCCTTTCTCAGTGATGATATGAACGAGAACAGGTCCGATAAGTGGCGAGGTCTTGAGGTTCTCAAAAACATATGTGAGGTCTTCCATGTTATGCCCATTAAGAGGACCGATATAGTACAGCCCAAGCTCTTCAAACAAACACACACCAGACCCACCAGCCACTCCTCTCACTAACGTATCCAACTTTGCAGCAACCTCATGTGCCTGGCTTCCCATTTGCTTCGTGATCCCCTGTTACGTCCGTCACCAAATATCAGGCTTTCAAGTTCTTGGGCTTATTAATAACTCCAAAACAAGTTGAAACAAGAAAGAGAGCGTTGTTATAATTAATTAACCAATTACCTTAGCAGCTTCACGCAACTTAAGAAAATTTTTGTTGGATTGAAGCCTGGTTAGGGCTCTGCTTAGGGCTCCAACAGGTTTGGCTGGGCCATCCACGGTTGCAGTGGGAAGCGAGACCTGTTCGTTGTCGTTTAAGACAATAATAAGCTTGGTGTGGTGGAAACCAGTGTTGTTCAGGGCCTCATAGGCTTGGCCTGCTGTGAGGGCTCCATCTCCTATAACAGAAATCACATGGTTGTTCCTCCTCATCAAGTCCCTCCCAACTGCCATTCCTGATAGCCACCACACAAATTAAATTGTTTCCAAGATTTGTTTTTTCATTTTTGGTCACAGGAAAAGTGGGCTTATATGGCCCACAAACTTTCTCGGCCTATATATGTGTTCCTTCCCGTTCAATTTTTCGGCCCGTGGATCTCTAGACCTGCTGATTCCAACAACAATGGCATTCACAACTTCACATGCTTTTACTAGGAAGGCTGGGTCTAATGAGGCCTGTCCCCTTATAACATGACAAATCAAAATTTAAATACTTGTTGAATGATGTGTTCATATTTAACACCTAACAATACTTTAGATATGATGGTTTTTAATTGTAGGATAGTCATATGTTTAAAAAAAAAAAAACCCATGCTTTTAAGCCGTGCACACGTACTTACAAGATTCTACGACAATACTTTCTCCTGTTAAAAATATAAGATAAATTTTGTTGAATGAGTTAGGGTTTTTAAGGAAAAACCATAAAAAAGATCTCTGAAATAAAAAAGTTATACACAGGGACCCGTTCACAAAAATTATTGTCAAAATCCATACTAATATTGTCATGAATCTTTATTTGTAATTTTTCTATTTTGACGGTCTTTTTTTGCCATTTCCTCCTTTTAATAAGATAATATTTATTTTTGTTTAAGTATTTAGTGATTTTTTCCAATTTTACCTCTAACATATATTTTCCTTTCTCTGATTCATTTATTTGTTCTCTTCATTAATAAGGGCATATTTGAAAAAAAAAATATGCCTTGCATATTTATTGTTCTAAAATGATTTTAAATAATTTCTTAATAAACGCATATGAATAAAATTTATCTTATATTTTGAAACGGGTGGAGTATTATTTTCCTGGAGCCAGCTACGAATTTATCGGAATTTTTTTTTAAAATTTATTTCAAACTTAGAAGAAGAAGAAGAAGAAGGAGCGGCCTGTGAAAAAAATTAACCGCAGCAAGCAAATGAAGAATCTAAACAGTGATTAATTAAGATTATGAAAAGAGAATCTAATCAGAGAATAATGAAAAATGAAAAGACATGTATACCCAAGCCAGCTGAAATGCTAGTAGAGCTATGACCAACTCCAAAAGCATCATGAACACTCTCATCCCTCTTCGGGAACCCGGCAAGTCCATTCGTCTGTCTGATAGTATGCATTCTGCTTCTCCTTCCCGTCAATATCTTATGCCCATAGCTCTGCAAGAAGCCACCCAACCATTCACACACACACACACATATATATTCTACGAATCATTCACACACACACAGACAGATTATTCATTAAACTCTCAAATCAAAATGGTTCATTTGTGTGTTACCTGATGGCCAACGTCCCAGATAATCTTGTCGGTTGGACTGTTGAAAACATGGTGAAGTGCTACAGTTAAGTCAACCACCCCCAGGCTCGCACTTAAATGGCCTCCTGTCTTCGACACTACGTACACTATCTCCTCTCTCAGTTCATCGGCCAGATCTTCCAGTTCCTGGGCATTTCATAATTCTTCAGTAATAATGTCACTGTCAACACGTGCGCCAAAACGCACCGCGTTAAAATAATCTGGTCGATGCAGTTAATCAACTCAGATACATGAAAATTAATGAGTGTGCACGTGAATTCATTAAAGCCACTTTTTGTCAGTTACTTTTGCCGCTCAACAGAGTCAGACCTGAATGGACAGATTCTTCATGTGGATTGGGTGGTTGATTGTGTCCAGGATCGGAGTGAAGGGCTTCTCTCCTGAGAAGTTCAGATTTCTCCTACTCTGAATCTTTGGATCATCGTTCTCTTTGCTTCCTTTGGGTCTCTTCGAGTCCTCATCAGCATTAGCATTATCCCCTTGTTGAGCACATATCGCTCTCTTCATCTGAGAAACATATCATCAAATACACGAATTAACGTTAATATATATGTGCCAGCACCGACAGAATCAATCCATAGATTTTTGCCTTTCTGCTTCTGAACTGGTATATGTTTATCAGCATACCCTTTGGAAGAAGGAGGCAGAGATTTGGGTTTGACGATCTGGGACGAAGCAGGATTTGTGCAGGTCACTGAACTGGAAAAGCGGAAGGAAGGAGGGTCGAAGAACAGAGGAAGCCATTGTTGAAGCAGAAGGAATATGACGAGGAGAGGAAATAGTGAGAGTACAAGCTCGATGGCTCTGTGGTTGTGAAATATGAGCAGGACTTTCAGGTCAATTTATAGCCAAATTAGTCGCAACAAATTAATGAATAAATCTGACCTCATTACTTAGCTTTACCAAACAGAGAAAATCTGACCTCATTACATCGCATTGAATGAGTTGTTTACTCCTAGTTATTTCTTCCTAAGGCATTACAAGATACAAATAATTGAACCATGTAATTAAAGTCAAAATTGGTTGAGGACAATAATTAATTCATACAATTTAAAAAGTTAATTAAAATCTGTTAAAGATAATAAATATGTAAAACAATACAACTTATTTTTCTAAAATATTCTTATTTATGAAGAGGTAAGTAGGAAAGAGAATGAGTGGGAAAAAAGAGATGAAGAAGACTTATAATTTATTAAGGGTAAAAATAAAAAAATTATTCAATAATCAGACAAATTCAAAGTGATACTTATAAAAAAAAAAATCAAACTTCAAAGATTTGATGCTTATATTTTGAACCAGATGAAGTAATATAAAAAAATATTTTTTTGAAATATATCTTTATTTATGGAGAGTGACTAAATGAGAAATAGAATGAGTTGGGAAAAAAAAGAAAAGATGAAACAAAGAATTGGTTAATTGATGCAGTGCATATTTATATCTATAGAAAAAAAATGAAACGAGTATATTCTATATATAAAATTCGATGACTATGATTTTATGGCTGCTAGGTATGCTATAACTTATGGCTGTTAGGTATCCTATAATAGGAGGTCACGAAAAGGAATTATCACAATTCGGTCATATGAATTTCTTATTTGCTGACACTACCACAACTAGAAAACTTCAAATTGATATAATTGTCAATAATTTGTATGGGAGAAAGCAAGGATCGCGTTCATTGGGAACATTTAATTTTTTTGAACAAACTATTTGAATTATTTTCATTTCATTTTGGAAAATTTACTTTTAAGATGTATTTGTTTTATTCTTTAAAACAAAGGAAATACTAGAATAAAACAAAGACCCTATGAACCATTTATATTCAATTTAAATGAAGAATTTATTCTTACACTCGTATTATATAAAAAAATAATTATGAAAATGTTACCATATCCCTATTTTTATTGCTCTACGAATTACAAGAAATGAACCACTGCTATTCATACTTGATAAATAATAACTATTGGTAAAGTTTTTATATTCTATACAAATATAAAACTCCAATATATACATTTTTTAGATGAAGTAAGAGTATCTTCAAGTTACATTGGACTTGAGACTGATCCCTTTCGGACCTAGAACTGGTAAGGAATAGCCCTCCCAACAAGTACGTTTTTCGGGATTCGAACTTATGTTCTCCTCTTTACGTGAGTGAGACCGCTATCATATCAACTAATAACTTGTTGGTTCCAATATATACATTTTTATCACAACAAATCTTTATTTTCTTTTGCTGTCGTCTGAATACTTCTTACAGGATATGATTGCTAATTAATATTTCTATACATAGCATTCATATAATATTTCATTCATGCATTTGCTATCCATAGAGACAGATTTATACAAAATTTAGATATTGGATAATTGACTTTTTGTTCGTTTTCTTATTATGGAATTGAATGTATCTGGTGATGATTAAAGAGAGGTTTCATGTTGGCAAAAACAAAATTATATTTATATAACCACCCTTTTTTTATTATCAACTCTCCAAATATATTGTTTATACCTTGGCATGTTCAAATTACAATCTCCATTTCATTTTTCTGAAATTCGGTGTAATTTTTTATTCACACATTCAAAATTAATCATGCGCAGCACATTTAGAGAAGACAATAAATATGTGCATGCACACTGATATGTAGGTACATTGTAATATTTCATAAGATCATGTATTACTAGATTTTTCTGATTCTGAAGATAAATCCTAATATTTGTATGAAGATTATTAGTGATATTATTCCATACATACTTGGTTTTAATGTTAGTTAATATTTCTAGTGATGCATGAGAGAAATTATAACTTAATACCCCAAAAAAAAGTTGATGAGAATCTAAATGCTTCAAATTAGAACACATATCATATCGCAGTCTCAAATCGATTATAAATTAAGACATATAAGTAAATCAATTTTATATTGACCATTATGTTAATGCATGGTGATATTGATTTGCTGACTATTACTCCATCTGTTTATATTTATAATTTTTGGAACACATTTAAAAGATGTTTAAATTTTTAACCAATCTTTTTATGTTTGCCCCTGTTAATTATGTATATGATTATGTATATTAATTATCTCTCCAACATCTCTTTTTTTTCGTACTTATTTTATTTCTCATTAACTATCTCTCCCCACGTAAAAAGGTATTTTTAGAAAATAAAATATTTTTTTTACTCATTCATTATCTTTAACTAACCTTTTAATTTATATAATTGAATTATTTGTATATTATATATAGGATTGGATGGGTACGGTATTAAAAAGGTCAAATTGAGCAAGGAAAATTACAGATTCTTATTTTTGTAAGTGACATAAAAAAAATCAAAATACAGTATTAAATGCAAATGATTAATGGGGAATGAATTCTACTGGTTAGTTGTATCATATGCTCAACCTGACCAAATTCACTTTTATTTAGTTATAATTCAATGCACATGGTGCAAAAATTAAACATACTAATAACCACTATGATCCTCATTATTATTTTTTGGGTATAATTCAGAAATTTTCAAGTCATTTTAGGTTTGAGACTAACCAATAAGTGTTCTCTTTCTTATAGGAGGTGAGACTGCTTACTATCCCAACCAATAGCTTGTTGGTTATGACTCTTATAAGAAGAAATTTTGATTTTTTTTTATTTGTCACTTATACCCTTTTCAATGCCTTGTTTCTCTTTTTATTGGTTACTTATTTGTCCCTTTCCAATTCTACCCGTATTAATTATAGTGAAGATGAAAGGAGAATGAATGAGTAAAATAAAATATGCTACTATTTAATGCGTTCTAAGAAATTATTATGAGTGATAAATAATGAGGAGCATACGGATATTTTTAACCAAATTTCAAACATTATGCAAGATGCATGTCCCTGACAAGTGAAATGGATTCATTCATTGATGTTAGGACAAAAAGAAATTTTATCGTTGTTTGTTCATGTTTCTTAAAAGAGACTTTAATTTTAGGATTAATATTATTGTTAGTCTTTATATTTTGATCAAATTTTAATTTTGATCCACATAGCTTTAAATTAGTGGCTTTGGTCTTTACAATTTTATAAAGACTTCGGTTGAGTTTAGGTATGGGAAAAAAAAAGAAAAAGAAATGATGTTGCCTCTTGAATCTGAAAAATGGAGCAATATTTTTCCCTTAGACTGACATTTTCTTTTGCCAAAAACTTATATTATTTTAACCATCAGTAGATAGAGAAAATTATAAAGAAGGCTGCTAAATATTACGAAGAATAAGTTTCCTTAAAAAATTAATGCCGACTAAGAGTCTAAAATTATAAACAAATGTTAAGAAGCTAGTGTTATTTCCTACCATTGTAAAAACAAGTGATTAAGCACTTTAACAAACTTTAATCGGTTATGTATCTTTTGATCGTCATCGTCATTTGTGACAGTGCTAGTAAGTAATTAGAAAATAAAAAAAATTACTTTAATAATAGTTGAATTTGTAAATTTCTAAGAAACACTCATAAATGTTGAAGGAGGAATCCCAAATTACCACACTAATTTAATTTAATACTTAACTGATATAAAAACACATTTACTTATAAATCACGTATGTTCGAAAATTTTTGAATAAACACTTATAAATTTTGGAAAGAGACTTGTAAATCAGCACAACGTTTGACAACTTAGACAGCGTAAAGGAACACTTGTAAATTTATTATGAGATTTGCCCTGTCGGCCCAATTAGATAGTTATTGGTCAAAATATATTGATAATAAGTAATGGTCTTTCACAATTATTTTTTATCTTAGATATTTATTTTATATTATTTTTTAATAAAAGACTTATTTATAATTTTATGGGGTTTATTCAAAATTTTCTTTTATCACTAACCGTCAAAATAATGGAAGTAAGACCGCTCTATCTTTTGGACTTAACACAAGAATAGAGAGTTATGGATAAAACTTTATACATATTAGCCACAACCCAAATTCAGTTCAGAGCTTCAGTCAGCGTTTTGCAGTTACAATCCGAGATTTGTACGGAAAAAAATTACAATCCGAGATTAGACCTGCCCCAGTTAAAATATTAAAAACATTCATATATAAGTCTGCAAAATATAAAAGAAAACATTTATATATATATACAAAAACATATAAAGATTCAAATAATTTTTAATAGAATTGTAATTCTCTAATGTAACTGTAATTTTATAAGTTGTAACCCATTAATATATTAATATAATACTATATTTGTTTTTTTTTTTACTATAGCATAGGTATCCTTCTATTAGAAGCAATTCTATTTGAGGTACTGTTGGGTACTAAATGTGGGCACCTCTCCCAATATGGATTCAAACTTTGGTTCGTCATGTTATGAGGGACTAGCTC